AAAAAAAAAAAAAAAAAAAAAAAGTAAGATGAAAAAGGTAGAACCATTTTTTTTGGTCAAAATATTATGATCTGTAAGCATATGTTCTGGTTAGTTTCTTTCCTGATAAAAGGCCTGTTTATTGTCATGTAAACACAAGCTGTGTACAGAGGATCAAAATATTTCAAGACATTAAAAAAATTTACAAAATGCTCTTTGATTTCAGTTTGCCTGTACTTATTTTTTAATGCCAATATACCTAGAATGAAAGACACCATGATGGACATATGTTCAACAAAGATGGCAGAAATGTTGAGAAAAGCTGTACTCGCCATACGATGATATCCATATAGTAATATTCATTTGTATCCATAGCACCCAACCTGTCTTATATTAAATAACTAAATGTCTATTTCTTGAATGATTTTTAAAAGCTCAAATAAAGACATACTTGTTTCTTTGTTTTAAACAATTCTTTCATTTATTCACAGCCTGGTTTTTTTCCAGAAAGCATGAAAGGCCCAGGAATCTAAAAGACATGTATGACTCTAAAGTCTGAGGTTATGAATGTCTTTTCAGTGTTAACTCTGTCAGTGTTCGTGTGAAGAAACTGGAGGGAAAGAAACATCTAGTTAAAAAAAAAATATTTTTTTAATGTTTATTTTTGAGAGAGAGAGAGAGAGAGAGACAGATTGTGAGTGGGGGAGGGGCAGAGAGAGAAGGAGACACAGAATCCCAAGCAGGCTCCAGGCTCTGAGCTGTCAGCACAGAGCCTGACTCAAGGCTTGAACTCAGGAACCACGAGATAATGACCTGAGCTAAAGTCGGACGCCTAACCGACTGAGCCATCCAGGTGCCCCAAGAGATATCTAATTATATGTCTGAACTTCAATGTTTCAAGATCTATTGCCAAGGAGCAAAGGAAAAATGACTAGGATATATGCATGATCTGAAGGTTATCTGCAACTTAAAGAAAATTCACCGTAAAAAAAAAAAAGTGTGTGTGTATACTTTTGGTCGGGACCTCATAAGGATGATGTCAGATGGTGATTAGGCTATTTTGGAAGTCAACTGGAGTCAACAAATAGTTAGAATCTACTTGAAGCAAGGTGAACAGAGCTCTTCTACATTACTCATTTCCTTACAATTCCAGGAACACAAGTAAGACAAGCAAGCTGGTAACCATCATAGTGAGAAGCCCAAGACACGTCTACAAGACAGGCAGAGACAAAGCAGAAACCAGGTGGGGGAAGGAGAGCAGAAAAAAGCTTCATGGAGATGGGCTAGGTGCTAAATAATGAATTGGATTCTGACATGTGGAAATGGTGATTTGCTTAACGGTAGAGCTAATACATCTTTAAGATGCATTTGGGTGAAGGGTCATACTGTTCTGATAATCTAAATGAGGAAACTAGTGTAGTGTGTTCAGAACAGCATAATACAATTTATTTCAGGAGCTTACCTATTTGCTAAAAATTTCTCTTCCTCTGCTTCTCTAGGCAATGAACGTGGGCCAGTTGGCTGAAAGCCCTTCATAGCAAGAGTAGCTAAATGTGACGTGTGACATGCTTGGAAATCTTTCAGGTTGAATGGCTTTGAAGAAAAGTCAACTATCATTCGTGTGTAACTTCTGAGTACAAAAAAAATTTGGTTGATATGATGAAATGCTTCTGACCAAATGCTACATTGTGAACGCGAGTTGCATACTTATGTCCTTTGAAAAAGCCCAACGATGGCTCTTGGAAATAGGTGAATGATCTTGCTGGCTCTGGTGATTGTTGCTTGAATGAGCTTCCTATGCACTCTAAATTCCCAACCAGTAGGTTTTGTTTTCTTCCTTTCTGAGCCTCCCCCTGTGCGCCATGTCAGTGCGATGTGAAGCAGGGAGGAAGAAGGACAGATCAGGTTCCGGCTTGCCAGGTGTGTGAGGGACTTTTCCTTGGAGGCTTCCAAAGCATTTACGCATTTGACATGTAAATGGTCAGATGCCGCTGTACCCCAGATCTGTCTTCTGAAAAAAAATACGCTGTAAAACACTCCTCATCGCATGTGGCCTCCTTTAGAATAAAGCTGCAAGGCCGTGGGGACGTATAAACTTTTAGACCTTGCTGTTTCCTCAGTAATGGTTTAAATAGAAACCAGATTGTTAAAAAAAAAAAAAAAAAAAGAACAAAAACAAAAAACCATACCATTTTCAACGTCGTAAGCCAAATCAAGGTATTTATCTTTCTCGTTTTATACCTGGAGTTCGGAGGCGAGGGCCAAAAACGTATCCTACATCTTGAGTGGAAGCTTTGCCCACCTGATTTTCTTTCCCCAGATTCTGGGAGGAAGGGATTGTGCTGCTAATGCAAGAGCTGCCTATCTGGCTGGGTGCCTACTTTCCCCCTTGATGCCTTGTCTACAATGATGATTTCTACGGAGGCAAAGGGATTTGAGAAAGATGTGACAGCTCCCAGTATCTCACAGAGGCCGAGGTGATCTGCAGTGATCCCACTGGATTAACGGGTCCCTCTTCTCTGGTGCTACAAGGTGGGAAACAGCAGGGCTGGCAAAATACTCTGGCAGATTAGGGGAGCTCCTGCCAAAAGGCACCCTTAGGCCCGGAGGAAGCCCTGGGTCAGAATGAAGCAGGAGCAGCAGGAGCACTTTGCTCTGCAGCTCAGGGCGGGGGTGGGGTGGGGGGGGGGGACCAAACCAGAG